CGGTATCTTGGTTGTGATATTTTATGGTACTCTAGTAAGAGATTGCCAATGGGGGAAACCGAGTAAAGGGTACATAGTGCTATCTCTATATTTTTTCTTACTACTGCACGTGAATCTAAAATGATCTCAAAATCAAAAGTTTAAAAAACTAAAATATTTTGGGGCGCCTGGGTGGCGCAGTCGGTTAAGCGTCCGACTTCAGCCAGGTCACGATCTCGCGGTCAGTTCACCGAGCTTGCCAGGCTCTGGAGCTGATGGCTCAGAGCCTGGAGCCTGTTTCCGATTCTGTGTCTCCCTCTCTCTCTGCCTCTCACCCGTACATGCTCTGTCTCTCTCTGTCCCCAAAATAAATAAATGTTGAAAAAAAATAAAAAAAAAAAAAACAAAAAAAAACCCCTAAAATATTTCAATTAAAAAAGTGAGAAAAAAATGAAAAAGTGTACAAACCACAAAAATTACAGATCATGTCTTATCTCTGTCTAAAACCTCCAGGGGTGTTCTATTCACTGCACGTGGAGGGAAACCCAAGCTTTTCACCATGGAGAAAGACTCCGTGCAATCTGATTTTTATCTCCTATGTTTCTCCCTTTGTCCCACTGCACCAGTCACATATGAGCTTTTCTTCCTGTTGCCCCAACACACCAAGCACGTTTATGAAAGGCAACAGCTCCTGTGCTTTCCCTCACCTGGAATGTTTTTTGCTTCCAGACCTCTGCATGGCTGGGCTTTTCCTCACTTCAGTGGTTGTTCAAATGCTACCTTCTCAGAGAGACCTTCCTTACATCTTGTCTAGATTAGGCCTTGGCTGCCCCATCCTCAGACTATATCATTGTCCAATTTCACTTTTTTTTTTTATAGGATTTATCAAGCTCTCTCTCTCTTTTGCTGATCCATTTCCTTGCTTACTGTCTGTCTGCCCTTCCCCTGCACATATATGGCCAGGAAGGTAAGGTTATTTCTCTCCCATCACCATTGCAGCATAATTGAGCACGTGTGATTGCTGAATGAATCAGTGCTTGAGGGGTATGTGTGTGTGTGTGTGCCCAGAACAGGCCAGGAACTTTCTTGAAACAGATGTATATTAAGAAATAACTATTGGGGCACCTGGGTGGCGCAGTCGGTTAAGCGTCGGACTTCAGCCAGCAGATCCGCGATCGCGGTCCGTGAGTTGAGGCCTTTTGTCGACTTCCTGGCTGATGGCTGCAGACTAAGGCCTATTTCGATTCTGTGTCTCCCTCTCTCTCTGCCCCTCCCCCGTTCATGCTCTGTCTCTCTCTGTCCCAAAAATAAATTAAAAACGTTGAAAAAAAAATTAAAAAAAAGAAATGACTATATTGTTTGGCTCCTGGGAAATCTAGAGATGCTGAATTCTTTTGAAGTTAAAATTTAGAGAAGGGAGCAAAATACATCTGCAACTAGATTTCAAGTAATGTATGAATGAACACAAGTCAAGGATGGGAAGGCGTATGCTTCACTTCATAGTATAGCTGTATTTCTGGGAGTTGACGATAAAGTGAATTTCTTTATTGCATTTCTATGTTCTTATGCATTATTACTTATCTATCTGATGAAAACAGATACCTGCCCACACAGAACAGCAGATGAAATCTGAACAGGAACCCTTTAATGGAGAAGGAACTAGGCTAGGCAGTTGTGTGATGTGTGGCTACTACTATCCTCCGATATGAAACATTGGAGGGCACAGCTTTGTAGCACTTTCTCAACGCTCTGAATTTCTCTGCCATCATCTCTCTCTAGTCTTCTTTTGACCACAAGAACATCACTCATGCTTGGGGAATGCTTGGCTTCACATGGCAGCGGTGGGAAATTAATCACCTCTTTTTCCTCCCACCAGGAATGTACATGATGTGTAATACCACACTTCACCAGTAGGGGTTGCCACTGGACCCTTATAAGGGCAAACCCCACTCTTGAATGCACTCTTCCCCAGACTGTCCTTCTGACAAGGAGCTGCTTCCTTTCCCTGGCTCCCTCCATCCTTGAAGATCAGTACAGCTGATGGGGGTGGGGTGGGGTCGGGTTGGGGGGAGATTCTAGTCTACATCTCCTGGCAAAGGCCCCTCCCTTCTTCCCAACTCCCAGCCATTGGCTGTCCTTTTGGGGGTAGTAGCTGAGTGAGGCATAAGGGGCCTACTGGGGTGCTGGCAATGTTCTCTTTCTTGGCCTGGGCACTGATCACACAGGTAGGTTTAGCCTGTGAAGATTCACTGGGCTCTACACAGTTATGATCTGGGCACTTTTCTGTACATATGTCATACTCCAAAATTCCAAAATACAGTTTATTTAAAATTAAAAAAAATTTTTTTTAACATTTATTTATTTTTGAGACCAAGAGAGAGAGAGAACATGAACAGGGGAGGGTCAGAGAAAGAGGGAGACACAGAATCTGAAACAGGCTCCAGGCTCTGAGCTGTCCGCACAGAGCCTGACGCGGGGCTCAAACTCATGGACCGTGAGATCATGACCTGAGCCGAAGTTGGATGCTTAACCGACTGAGCCACCCAGGCGCCCCAATACAGTTTATTTTAAAAACCCATAGATTACATTCACTTAATACACAGGATGCCTCAGTAATTTCTGGAATTCCCACTATAGTCTGAAAAAAGGAAACAAAAACCAAGAAACCAAAAACAAGTTTGAACACCTAACCCTGGGAACAGACTTAGGAATGTTTTTCACTAAAGTGGTTGCTTAGGTAATTGCAGGTGAAAGCTTCATTCATTCATTCATTCGTTCGTTCGTTCATTCACTCATTCATTCATGTTAGAGGGATGAAGGGTGAGGGGCAGGGAGAGTTTGGTTTTGAAATGCTTCCATAGGGTTTTGCGCTCTGTGGAATCACTGAGGCTCATTACCCAGGAGCTGCACTCTTGCTCCCACTTTGGGTCCTGTGGTGGGGCCTTCATCAAGTGCAAATCCAGCCTGCAGGGGGCCCTGAGACTCTGGGCCAGGATAGGCTGCTGAGAATACCTAAGGAGAGCTGCTTTGCACCCCAGGCCAGGTGTTCCGAGGCTCAGAAAGCAGACGGGCCGGCCGTGTCGCTGCTGCTTTGCTGTGGGGCGATCCCTGCTGTCAGAGAAGGTGGCTCCATGCTTCCTTCTTCACTCTTTGAGAAGCCTGTCAGCCCAGTCTGGTGGGGGAACCCACGGTGCCCTTTTAGTTCACAGGCCCATTTCTCCTGAGACTTCAGAGGTTCCCGTGTCTTAGAGGGACCCCAGACTTCTGCAAAGTCTGTTCTGGAGCAAAGGGGTAAGAGGCTGGTGCTGGAGCCAGGCTGCCTGGGGTTAAGCCCAGGTCTGCCACTTACCAACTATGTGACCTTGGGCAAGTAATCACCCTCTCTGTGCCTCAGTAAACCCATCGGTCAAATGGGGGATAAGAACATCACCTCCTTCAAAGATTGTGAGGATTGACTGAGTTAATCTTTATGTTGTGCTTAGAATAGTGCCAGGCATATAGTAAATATAAAAAATACATATTTTAGCTTAAAAATCCTCATTTATGTCTTGAGACAGTTCATTATAAAAGGGTTCCGAGGTTAAATGAGTTCGGGAAACGCTTGATTGCCTTTGTGAATTAGGGTATTCAAGGCTCTCCGGGAGAGAAATTGGAGTAAACCAATGTTAGCCTGTAGAAGGAGCTGAAAGCCCTGCTCTCAGGCCAGTATTCGGGGCTGGTTGGTACGTGCACTGCAATGGGGTGTTAAATACTTTGGTACCAACCCCGCTGAGGGAATGGCTTTTACAGAACACCCTTTGGGAAATACTCGAGGTGCGTCATACTCCGGCGAGGCCGGCTTCGTGACAGGGTCACTTGTACCGCACTCACCAAGTTGCAGAGCCAGTTTGGAGGGCACGGACTCATTTTATCTTCACACCCACCCTAAGAGGTCAATATAGTTATTGTCCCCATTTTTAGGTAGGGAAACTGAGGCAGAGGGAAGTTAAGTAACTTGAGTGGGGTCATAAGGCTAGTACGCGGCATAGCGAGGTTTGGATCCCTATAGGTTGGCTCCAGAGTCCATGCTCTGACCCACTGTGCCATATAAATATATATTCATTCCCTCGTGGCCCACTGGGGAGCCCTCAGGTACGCGGTAGTTGATGCACAGACTCCTCAGAGCCTCTCAAGGCAGCCTGGTCACCCCTGGTGTTTCCATGGCCACAGTGGTGGGGCATTTGTCACAGTCTCCCCCTTGCCCTTGGCTCTCCACCCTTGATAGGATGGCTGGGGGATGGGCATGCCACGGCTGTCCATTCTCGAAGTTCTCCAGCAACACACGCAATGATGCCAAAGGCCCCCTGGCAGGGACGGAACATCTATACTATATCATCAAACAAGTGACCCCGAAGAGATTTTTAAGAACTGATCTCATAATAGCCCAAGGGATGAATTGATGTTCTGAAGGGGCTGCAGCATTTATTTCTCTGTTGTAGGAGTAAGGGGATCCAGGAGGAAGGGTGGGGAGACTCATCTGATCTTCTGTACCTGAAAAATTTTCTCCAGGGCCCGGCTTTGTGGGAACCCTGGAAGGGTCTGTATCCCATGGATCTTGGGAGCTATACCATTTCCCTCTTCCTGCCAGATTCCTATCTGTCCGGCCAGGCCTGCTCCCATCTTGGCACCTCCCTGACACCTTCCCTGACTGACTCACACCCCAGAGCCCATGCCACCATTCAACATTGTTTCATAAACCTCAGATGCCCTTGGGGCACATGTGTTGGCAGCATCTCCCCAGCTTTCCTGCAAATTCCCTGGGTTATTAGAAGTGTCTTGGGACATAGCAGGTGCTCAATAAAACAGCTGCCCACAATGACTGCACAAGTAGCTTTAGTCAGCCACGTACATATGCCACCAGTGGCCATCACTGCAGGATTTGTATCCGGAGGGCAGGATCAGGCTAAGGGGCCGCTGAGGTCGGGGACCTCCCCGCTTGTTCTCTGCCGCCGACCGACACCATAGCGTTAAACTCCTCTTACCTTGCTCGCTTTCAAGATCTCGAACATCAGAGGCAGGCCTTGAGTAATGAGCTCCTCTGTGTACTCCTCCTCCTGAATGGTCTTAAACTCCTTCAACAGGCACTGGATAAGAGGCCTGCGGTGTTGCTGGAAGGCGATCCGCAAAGACTCCAGCCACGTGTGCAGGGTCCATGGGACACCTGGGAGAGGGAGGGGAGGGCACGGAGGGGAGGAGAGGGCGAGACAGAAAACAACCACAACAGAAGGTGTGTTTTTATCTGGAAGCTGGCCTTCCCCCAGGACATCACCAAACTACGAGACCAAGAGACCGACTTGGGATGAATACAGCCAGGGTAGTTTGTATTTTTTTTCTCCCCCTGAAGACTTGCAGATGTTGAAACTAAAGATCACAATTCAATTCCCTTAGCTATGGGTGTCCATCTCTGCATGCTCGTCACATTAGCGGGGGCTGCATTTTACAAGCTAGAACCACCGTGTAGAACGTGGAATTGTCACACGCTGCTTCTGCCTACTCCATACTTCTGAGTCCTGACTTCATTCACCTCCACCCCTTCTGCCTTCTGGGGAGACAGAAGCCCAGGGAGGGAAGTGTCTTGCCCGGGATGAGATAGCACCAGGCGAGAGCAGAGAGCTGGTGAAACCCATCGGTGGACTTTGCCATCTACCGCACTGGCCAGGACGGACGCGTATGTCGGAAAAAGACCCAGGAGGATTCTGCCGCTGCTCCCCTGTGCAAAACAACTTTCCCATCTGTGGGCACTTCATCAGGTTCTTCCTCCTTTAATAGAAACCCCTCCAGCAGCTGATTGCTGTGATTTGCTTCTCCCCTGTCGAGGTGAGGCACAGAGGAAGAATGCGTCTCACTACTGTTTATAACGAGCAGGCCATTCAGAGCCTGGAGCGTCATCATTATGGTAAACAGGCTCTCTGGGCAGTGGCATAAATATCCCACAGACTGAACAGCTACCCTGAGAGAGGGGCCCACGTCCAGAGCAGCAGCAGGGGGCCTCTCCTCAGGCCCTCAGCCCACCTTGACCTGCCACTCCGTGTGTTGAAGGCCCAGGCTAGGTCCTGCTGTTCTTGTGCGGGGCTGTTGCCTCTAGACCGGGGAAGACTGGGCGAGCCTGTTCCCTGGACGCATGGAGGAGATGGGTCTGAGCTCGCTCATTCAAGGAAGAGCCACCCCCAAATTTTCCCAAGAGTGGCTTTGCCCCTGCAAGCTCAGTGGGTGAGCCTGGCAAAGAGACACCCTCGTCCTAGCTGTTGGCCTGGCCGCTGCTTCGTGATTTGGGTGCTCTAAGGCAGTGATTCCCCAACCACTGGGAGCCACCTGGGATGATTGTTAAACATAAAGATTTCCGGCCTTTATCCATCCAGACCCTCAACAGCAGAGCCTCTGGGTGTAGGGCCTGGCAATCCGTATTCAGACAAGCTCCCAGGTGATTCCAATTCCTAAGTTCTCAGGGTCCAGAGTTTGGGAATCATGAGAAAATGACCTGAGGTCAGGCGTTTGGGGCTGGAAGGGTGATGCTGTCTTTCGGGATAGCTCGGGCAGTTTAGCCTGGAAGGGCTCCAACCAGCAAATGCGAAATTCCCTGGGCCTCTGTGTGTGTGTGTGTGTGTGTGTGTGTGGGTGTGGGTGTGGGTGTGTGCACGTGTGTGTGTGAGTCACCTAGCACTGGGCAGTGGTGCTGTGTCCAGTGGCGGAGGGTGCCCAGACTGACCTATGCTCCTGATATCAATTGTGACATCCACGTAGCCATGCTCAGCGCTGTGATACATGGCCTCCCTCAGGGCTCTCAGTTTGGCCTTGCTGTTGCGGCTGGCACAGAGGGGAGGCGGGGCTGTCTCCGCCAGGTCAGTCCCCTCGGCCAGAATCTCCTCCAGGGACAGGATATCACTCTTCTCCTTCTCTGGCTGAGCGAGCAGTTTGCGGAACACATTCCTGTCAATCATAAACCCAGAGAGGAAGACACTCAGAGATGGAAGGGTTTTGCCAGGGCAGGGATGGGGTGTGGGCAGTGGGGACACCACTCGTGTGAGACAAGGGAATGGCAGGAACAACTCTGGAGTGGTGGCTTCAGAGGCCTGACCATGGATGCTATGTTTTAGGGCTGGGTGGAGGAGACGGTGGAGCATGACTGGCTTTGTTTCCTGGAGGACAACCTGGAGCAGCTAAATGCTTTCCACAAGTATCCAGAAGGCTCTAGAACTGTGCTCTTTTAACCATCAACCTGCACAGGGTCCCACGTGAATTTGCTTTACATGGGGTTATGTGTAATAAAAATTGGATGGGGTAAAACCTGAAGGCCATGTGACAAGAAATAACCAAACACGAGGGGTTTTATTATTTTTTAAATGTATCCTTGTCACTTCATGGCAGCTGACGTGACGGGCTCTGACCAACGCTGGCAAAGAGTGGCATCTCTGTGAGGCGGAAGCTGATCCGGGAAAGGACAAAGCAAGGCAGTCTGAGTGGATGTGCGCTGCACAAAGTTGGCTCTGAGCAGAAAGCTGGCAGTGAAGGCCACTGTGGCCAGGCCTGGTGTCTGGCCTGCCTCTGGGCCCCACATCCAGAGATATAGTGGGTCTGGGGTAGGCCTGGGAATCTGCATTTTTAACAAGCACCACTTGGGACCTTGTGGCTTTGGCCCATCCTAGCCTACCTGTGTCCGTGGGCTGCGGCCTGGCTGAAAGAGTTCATATCACCCTGGGGGGTTGTAGAAATTCCATTCCTGTACATGGTTCCTATCAGGGGATCCGCACCACGCTCCAACAGCAAACTAACCAGCTCAAAATTTCCTGCAAGCCCAGAGAAGGGGGTTTTATAAGCGAATAAAGCAAATACACGGTCACAGACACAGCGAGGGCCGAGGTGGTGGAGACCCTTGGCCAGGATGAGAATCAGCGACTCTTACCTACAGCAGCAGCCAGCTGGAGGGGCGTTTCCGAGTAGTTCTCCTCGCCGTGCTCCACGGAACCTTCCACCTTGGCCCCGGCGTCCAGGAGCAGCTGCAGAGGAAGAGTGGCCATTGAGACATTTAAAGACATGTGCTGTGAGGACACGTCAGGAGAGCTGGTGGGAGTCAGCACAGTGCCAATGTTCCTGCCCTCCCTCTGGGTCAGTGGTCATGTGCACAGGGTGAGGGCAACTGTACCTTGGGGGATGAACTGATGGCCCCTCGAATCTACTAGAACCTCGGACTATCAAAGTGTGGTCCACGGAAAAGCAGCATCAGCATCCCCTGGGAGCTTTGAAATGCTGGCTCTCAGGGCCCACCCCCGACCAACTGAATGAGAGTGTTTGCATTTCAGCAAGATCTCCAGGTGATTTATAAGTACACTGAAGTTTCCAGAAGTGCTGACTGAGCAGCTCATGGCATCAGAGTGCTGGAAGACTCCCTTTTTGGGTTGGTTACACAAAGCCTCGGAGAGAGCATTAGAGGGATCTCTTAGAACCACAGAATCTTGAGTTCTGAAGGACTCTGGAGACCACCTGGGCCAATGAGGGCAAGGATGCCTTCTAGAACACTCTGGATGGCTCTGAGTATAGTTTAGCCAATGCTAAATTTCCTGGCCAGCAATTAATAAAGAGGCAGAGTGAGAATCCAGGAGTTTACTCCGTTCTGTGCATTCCTGAAGGGCTTCTTCAAGATGGAGATTCTGTCTGTGCCAGATCTCACTCTCAGTGAATGTGCTCTCAGGACCACCAATGGAAAATGGGGAGGGGGGGCAATCTACCTTCTTTGCTACATATCCAGGGCTCCCTCAGGGCACAGCCAGGAGAGGGCTGACTCCTGGCATTCCGGGACCTGTATGCCTGCAGTGAAGAGGTGGCCTGACTTCTTTTTGGGTTTGCTTGGCTGCCCGCTGCTCCTACTCCTGATTTAAAGGCTTGGGGATGCCACTGCACTTTAAGGGTGGCATTTGTGTCCACTAGGCCACCTCCCGATCCCTTCTTTCTTATATTCCTCTACCAAGAGTGAAGTGGGCAGAAGTTTCAGCTCTCAGCATAACACTTCATACTCTCAACCTCCTAAAACATGAGTTTGGGTCTGTCCTAAGGAGTCCCATGACTGAGGAAACAACAAAAGATTCCTGTGGATTTCCAATATTGCCTCATGGTCCCTGGAACACTTATTTCCTGCTCTGTAAACTTCTAAGATGCTTGGAGCACATAACAGCAAGTATTCCTGATGTACCCACAGCTCAGCACCATGAGGCCAGGTGTGATAATGGACCTGGATGCTGAGTTCTTTTTTCCTGATGAAGTGAAGAGCAAGTTTAAGGTCTAGAATATATTCGATGGCTATCTGTTGAATACCAACTGTACAAGAGCCAGAAAAAGTATAACCAATACATACTTAAATGCCCAACGGCCCTCGGATGAGGACATCTCTCCGTACTTGGGGAGCCTTGGGTAGCTGTTTCAGAAGACACATCCAAAGGCCTTACTCTAGACCTCTTGGATCAGATTCTCAATAAGTAGAATCCAAGCAAGTGTCATTTAGAATCATTCCCTTGGCAACTTGGGGATGCTTCTTTCCACTAGTTAGAAACCACTAGATTCTACACAAATACCAGGGTCACACCTCAGGGGAGGTTCTAAGGTCTCACACCATCCAAGTGTTACGATTCACATTGCGACAAGCAAAATGAACAAATCCACAAAATTGCAGCTCAGGCCCCACCCCCGAGCAACCAGAACAACTTCATAAGTTTGCCACTCTTCTGTGTGAGGCTGCATGTGGGTATGTGATCGTTTCATATTGGTTAAGGCCAGGCCATATAGATCATTACATATGATATTTTCACTTATATGATATGAATGTGCTATATTTAGTTGCAATTAACCAATATGAATCTCTTAGGGAATATGCATGCTGGGAGAGGTAACAGATTTGCATGATGGAAGAGGGTAAAATTAAAGGTCAGATGTGGATAGGGAAATACATTAATATACCTGAACTACAGGAATATGTCCATGCAACACAGCAAAAGTCAGAGCCGTCCAATGGCGGGTCTCAGGGTGGACGGATGGATATTTATGAGGAGTACTGACAACCTATAAACAAATTGAAGTTATTTTCAAAATGTGACCTTCACAATATTTTGACTAGCAAATCTGATCTATCTGTGGCTGGGCATGTGGGCTAGAGATGTACAGAAGGACATTCTAGAAGTGCTTTGGGAAATGTCGGTAACAGTGGGGTAGTGACTTTATGTTCTCTGTGCATCATAAGGTCTCCTTTGCTTCTTGTCTGAAAGGAATTAAACCGATGATTTCTGACTTCCTCTGAGGTGCCTTGGAGAAGCTGTAATGGCAGCTACCACAAGCCAACTCCCCAGCCTGTCCCCTCTTTCTGCTTAAGGAAGGGTGGTGGTTCTGAGAGCCATAGGGTGTCAGACAGCATGAGATGCCATATCATTACATTCGCACCTTTAGGGGAAATTCTCAGCAGCAGCAAACCCCAGGCAAGGCAAGGTCTGCTTTGAGTTTTCAAGCGAGGGAAGACCACTACCCATCTGATGGAGTCACATTCCCATCTGGTCACAGCTCACCCTACCCTGTTCTCATTTCACTGTTCTTCTGGCTTCTCAGTTGACAAGGACCCTCATGCTACTGGAAACCTGGGCACAAAACCTTCCCTGGACACACCACGAGTGAGCAATCTGATACTGGTCCTTCAGTATGGGGGGCCTCAAAACACTCTAGGCCAAAAGAGAGGCAACAGGGAAGCTGAAGGTTGGGGCCCTTCAGGACTGGCACCCACACATGGCTTTTCTCCCAAACACCCCCGGGACCAAACAGCTGTGATGTCTGACTCATTCAGAGCAGCTGAATTCACTCGTCACCTGTCAGGGTAGGCCTTGAGCTGGCTAGGAGTCATGGAATGGGCTAGAGAGGATCAGAGAAGCCCACCAGGACCCAAAGATGAGGAGCCCTTGCAGGGGTCTGCATGGTGTTGGGGGATTCTTAACAGGCAGGAAAATCCCCAGTACCTGAAACTTATAATATCCAAAATGGTCTGGATGCAAAACTAGGTCTATTGCCTGTTTGCCTCAGATGAATCTAAAACTCACTAATTAAAAAAAGCACAGTACTAAGACTACAAGAACATCTAATTTTGAACTAAAAAAGTTTTATAGGGTTGCTGAGTTAGGACTGCAGCATGCCAACCTTCCTAGCCTCTGGGGCTGCCAGTGGCTGGCTGCCAGAAAGACAGGATAGGACGTCGTCGAAAAGCGTGATTTCACCCATCACAAGCCTCGTGGTGCGTGTGCGCGAACCAGGATTGACTGAGCCCCAAACTTATGCTAGGTCCTCTTTGTATTTATTTCTTCCAGCAACTCTCTGAGATGGGTGTGATTATTCTCCCCCTGTTGTGGATGGGGATGCTGAGGCTCAAAAAGGTTAAGCCACCTGCCCCAGCACAAAAGCAAGTTACTAAGACTCAGCAGTTTCGGAATTTGAGCTTAAGTGTCAAACTCTAAAGCCTGCGGGGGTGCGCTTCCCACGATAAATACACCACACTGCCTCACGGAAGCTTTGCCATTAGCTTTAGGACCTGTGGCTTCAACTCAGCCAATAGGCGAACCAATCAGGATTTGGTTGGGAGGGGGTAGGATCTGAGGGAGCTACACCTTAGGTCAGGGTATGCAGAGCAGCTCTGTCTTATGTCCTGATGGCTCAGGAGAGAGCTCCCTGCCCTGATCCCAGAAGGAATGGATCAGTAATAAGAATCAGACTCAGTTCAGCTGAGATAAGGGAACGCTGGTGCTTCTTGTAGCTTCATTGGTTGTTTTTAAATGAAACATGCACGTGGGCAGCTCCCTGGGATTTGGGTGGGTTGGGGCCTCCAGATGGAGGAAATCTACCGGCTGATTTGACCTATTTGCTGGACTGACCGCCCCCAGTGGTGGCTCTCAGGAGAAAAAGCCCCCCCTCTCTTTGCTCGTTTTCCCTGGGGGACTGCCAGGCCCAGGGGCCCTGTAGCCCTCTGCACCCTCACCTCGACATTCAGGTCAGCTCCGGCATCCAGCAGCATCTGAACCATTGCCTCGTCCCCACGGACGCAGGCATACATCAGGGGGGTCATGCCCTGTGGTGGGTTAAAAACCAGAGAATGGAGAAGGTTTACAAGGTAGCTGTGTCACTGGACGATAGCAAATGGAAAATCTTACTTGTGTGTAGGTGGCTATGTTTGTACTCAAAATCCAGCATTAAAAAAATAAATGTGCTGCCCTTATGACTCATAAAGCCACAATCCTCCCTATTTTGAAAACCAAAATGAAGGCCAAAAAAAAAAAAAAAAAAAAAAAAAAAAGGTGGGGGATTGCCGTTTTTGCAATTATCTTTGCTTAAGTTGGAGTATTTTCATTTGTCTGTCCTAAGGTGCAAGAGACCTAAGGGGGTTTGCTAAAACACGTGGCTGATTTCAACTTACAGGTCTTGGGAACTTTCTGGACTCTGTGGTATCAGTCCTAAGTTATCTAACTCATAAACACTGTTTCCTTGACATTTTTCTCTTTCACAATGTAAGTATCATCTTTGCTCTACACAGCTGCTGGCCAGTGTCAAGGGAAATTGGATGCCTCTGAGCATGCCCCCATCACTGATGTCTGGTTTATCATTTACAAGCAAAAGGCAAGTGAATGAGGAATGGTTTTTAGGAATTCCATGTTTGCCAGTGACTCCTGCTTATTTTGAAGTTCCACAACCATTAGAAGGGAGGGATGGATTTTTCAATAAACAGTGTTGAGAAGGTGGCTACTTGGGAAAACGTGCAAGTTAGAGCTTATCTCGCACCATCTAACTGGATCTGTTTCTAGGTGTAAAAGTAATGGAAGAAATCATGAAGGAAAAGCATTACGGTGTTCAGGACCTAAAACCGAAAACATAAACAAAATTGAAAGGTAGGCAATAAACTGAGACATATTTGTCATAGTATAAGAAAGGGTTATATGCCTAATATGTAAAGAGCTCTTCTAAATAAAGAAGACAATCAAAGCTCCAGTGAAAAACTGGCAAAAGGTAAGGAAAATATTAATAGGGAGGGGCACCTGGGTGGCTCAGTCGGTTAGGCATCTGACTTCGGTTCAGGTCATGATCTCACGGTTCATGGGTTTGAGCCCCGTGTCAGGCTCTGTGCTGACAGCTCAGAGCCTGGAGCCTGCTTCGGATTGTGTGTGTGTGTGTGTGTGTGTGTGTGTCTTTCTCTCTGCCTCTCCCCTACTCACACTCTGCCTCTCAAAAATGAATAAACAGTTAAAAAGTTTTTTTTTA